ATATTAAAAGATCTTTGCAAACAAATACACATACATATAACATGTTAATATAATTAATTTAAAGATGTAACTGTCAACATAATTAAAAATGATCAAATCTCATACTTGAATCTCGGTCCAAATTTTATCCTTAGCCGCTTTTAATGCAGGAATTCTCCAGTTATCGCAAGTAATCGGAACTTGCGAACGTACAACTGCTCTAATATAACTTGTCAGCAGCGCACCATTAGGCTCAACCAACTGATCTCTTTCATTCCAATGGACATCGTACTTTACACCTCTATCTCTCGCACGGATGATACTTTTCATTATCGTTATGCCTCTTTTAATTTCGCCTTCAACGTCTTTGGGTGTTTCTTTTCCATCATGTGATGTTTCCTCGTTGCTGGCCATAATATACCTGTAATTCAGAATAACAACAACAACAACAAATATCAACAACAATAACAACATCTATATCAAATATAAACCATCTATACAAACCATCTATATAAACTATCTATATCAAATATAAACCAACAATAACAACATAAACCATCTATATAAACCATCAAATAACAATAACAAATATAAACCATCTATACAAACCATCTATATAAACTATCTATATCAAATATAAACCAACAATAACAACATAAACCATCTATATAAACCAACAATATCAAATATCAAATATAAACCATCTATACAAACCATCTATATAAACTATCTATATCAAATATAAACCAACAATAACAACATAAACCATCTATATAAACCATCAAATAACAATAACAAATATAAACCATCTATACAAACCATCTATATAAACTATCTATATCAAATATAAACCAACAATAACAACATAAACCATCTATATAAACCAACAATATCAAATATCAAATATAAACCATCTATACAAACCATCTATATAAACTATCTATATCAAATATAAACCAACAATAACAACATAAACCATCTATATAAACCAACAATATCAAATATCAAATATCAAATATAAACCATCTATACAAACCATCTATATAAACTATCTATATCAAATATAAACCAACAATAAACAACATAAACCATCTATATAAACCAATATCAAATAACAATAACAAATATAAACCATCTATACAAACCATCTATATAAACTATCTATATCAAATACAAACCAACAATAACCACATAAACCATCTATATAAACCAATATCAAATAACAATAACAAATATAAACCATCTATACAAACCATCTATATAAACTATCTATATCAAATATAAACCAACAATAACAACATAAACCATCTATATAAACCAACAATATCAAATATCAAATATAAACCATCTATATAAACCATCAAATATAAACCAACAATAACAACATCTATATCAAATACAAACCATCTATATAAACTATAACAAATACAAACCATCTATACAACACAAATATAAACTATAACAAATATAAACTATAACACAAACCATCTATATAACACAAATATAAACCATCTATATCAACTATAACAAATACGAACCAACAATAACAACATAAACCATCTATATAAACCAATATCAAATAACAATAACAAATATAAACCATCTATACAAACCATCTATATAAACTATCTATATCAAATATAAACCAACAATAACAACATAAACCATCTATATAAACCAACAATATCAAATATCAAATATAAACCATCTATATAAACCATCAAATATAAACCAACAATAACAACATCTATATCAAATACAACAACAACAACAAAAACCATCATATTAACACAACAACAACTAACACAACAACAACAAAAACCATCATTGAAAAGATAAAAACCATCTATATATCATCAGAACAACAATGGTGAAAAGATAAAAAAAACAAAAAAAGCAGAGTAAAGCTTCACGTACCGTAACAATGGTGGACCGGCAATGCAGACGGATGGATGAACTCAAAAACGGACGGTGAACGGTCGGTGATGGTCGGAAGGATGATCGGACGGAAGAAGTTGATGGTCGGACGATGAACAGTGGTTCGTTCGTTCGTTTTCGTTCGCCAGAGAAAGAAGAAATGTGTTCGTGACTGTTCTGATTCTATTAAAATTCTGGAGGGTATTTTAAAATTATAATATGAATACCTATAGCAACGCTTTTAAAGGCCTTTAGCAGCGCTTTTAAAAGCGCTTTCATAGGGTGCCTTATCAATTCCATATAGCAGCGCTTTATATAAAAAGCGCTTTCTAAGGGTCCCCCTTTAGCAGCGCTTTTGAAAAGAGCTTTCGTAGACCCCCCCTTTAGCAGCGCTTTTTAAAAGCGCTTTCTTAGGCCCACCATTTAGCAGCGCTTTTTTAAAAGCGCTGTCTTTGGTAGGCGCTTTTTTTCTTTTTTTTTTACTGGCCCTTTAGCAGCGCTTTTGTATAAAGCGCTGTCTTTCTATGCGCTGCTAAAAGTGATTTCTGGCGTAGTGATATTAATACATAATAAACACATTTTTATTTTTTCTAACTTTTCAGAATAAACATAATATATCACACATTTCATATAAAACACTAGTATTTCAGATAAAACACTTATCGAATATAACTTTTCTATGTCTTTCTTCCGACTTTCCTGATCGGCTTCTAACATCTTCCTCTACTCTTCTAAATCATTCTCAACAAGAGAAAACTTTTCTCTTTGCTCTTGTAATTCGGCATTGGCGGCGCTTTCTTTGGTTGGACCAAAGAATAATCAAAGGTCGGCGCCTTCTCCAACACCACGAACGCACCCACCATGCCCATTTGTTTCAATAGCCTTGACTAGCATATCATGTCGTGGTTTTAGAACATATGAGTCTCCACGGACCTCCTCAACCAACACATCCTACACAACATGCATGATAATATTAATATTGTAATTACCACAACATTTAAATAACACATAACATACAAACAACAAATTATACTTACAATTTTCTCAGCAACTGCTCTTGAAGCATCTGAGGTGTACTCTCCATTTGGTCTTAGTCAAGCCCTCTTCCACTTCTCATGCCTTGACGGTGAAGATGAATTGCGATCACGAATTATGGAGTCCTCATCTCCCATTTCTTGTTTTTTTTCTCCATTTTTTTCTTCAGTTTTCTGTAACCCCCACGAGACAATCTATAGGGGTAAATGTTTTTTTGCTTTATTTTGAATTTCTACTTGATTTTTAGTCTGTTATAAACATAGTGAAAATATGATTAGTATCTATAAATCATTAGCATCAAATTATCAAGATAAATAAGGCTAGTACTAACCAGGAATTTTTCAGAACGACGATCCTTTGCAAACTTTTTCCAAACCTTTTTCGAGAGAAAACTATACCTCACCCATGGACGCTCAAGACCAATCTTAGGATTCTTAATGTAGTCACACGTGAGCCGTGACTTAAATCCCCTCCAACACATGCCAACATGAGTTAACCACTTTTTTTTAAGTGCTTATCACCATCCGTAAACTCAAAGGTCAACTACATTTAAATCAATAAAAATGTATTAGAAATTATAGAAAGTCATATCGAAATGATGAAAATTAAAACTAATACATTAATATCTGCCTATATGCTATCTTTGACCTCAGCTAGCGCTTGTTTCCAATCATCTACCGATATACTAATTTTTCTACGTCTAAGGAACGCAACATAACTTTTAAAAAGAGAAAAGTATTCACCATCAACTACTCTATTATACGAATCAAACGCGATAGGAAATACCATATTTGTAGACTTTTTTTACTTTGGTAAGTATAGTGGCACCTCTTGTGATCTTTTCTTTTTGATTTGAGTATCACTTGTCATAGATTCCTCGCCACTAGATGAAGAATACGACGAAGTCGACATCTATTTACAAAAACAACAACAACCTCAACAAAAACAACAACAAACTCTTTCATCTATTATCATATATACATTCAACAACAACAACAACAAACTCTTTCAAAGATTATCACATACATATTCAACAATAACAACAACAAAAACATTCGGTTAATCAAGTTTTATGACACACATTCAACAAGAACCAGAAAAACAACAACAACAACATCAACAACAATGGAAATTGAAGTTTACGGTAGTGCATGGGAAAAAGTTTTACATACCGTAAACATGATCACTAAGTAAATATGAATATTTGGGTTGATACAGATAGTGTTGTTGTTGTACTCCTCCTTGACGATGACGATGATGTTAGTGTGTTAGGGTTGAAAATGAACATATGACGATGACGATGACCACAGGTTGAAAATGAACAACGAATGCAAAACTATAACAACCGTTGATGATGAAGGTGATGATATGTCTTAATTCTACTATAGAATATGAAAAGGATTTTTTTTTTATATACTATTTCAAGATCACGAAATTTAACTTGAACAAGATTCTTCTATCATTTTAACTATTTTTTATATTTTTTATTCAAATAATTTTTTTTTACAAATCATATTAAAATTCATCAAAATATTACGTTACCTTGTTAAAATGTTTCATCCTAACATACTTTTAATGTTTAAAAAATGTTTAATTACACTTTTGCTTCTTTTTTTTTAATTTTTTTTTTTAGATTTTCAAATATCACAACTGCTACCATTTTGAGTTGAAGTCAGGTTTTTTTTTCTTCCATTAAAGGTAAAACTCTCGAAGCCACACTATTTTTGCATAAAAGGAATCAAAAGATTGGAAAAAAAAAATACATCAAGTATAATACTTAAAAGGCTAAAAATTCAATTAAAAGACAATTATTTTTATGAGGGTAATAAAACAAAAAGACCAAAAATGCAATTTAAAGAAGAAAAAATCCATTATATCATATCTGTTAATCTTTTCGTCTCAAATTGTTAAAATAATTCAACTAAAATTTGAAAAGAAACACAATCTTTAAGCAAAAGATTATAACAAATAAAACCACAAATCTTACATAAACAATATTAAGTTTCTAAACACAGTTAGTACCTCTAACAATCTTATTTAATCATAACTAACAAGCATATTATTACAAATTACAAACTAGAACCTCTTTTAATAATTCCTCTAGTCCTTCTTTGAGTAACACCAACATTGCTCTTGCTATTCCCACCACCTCTTTTTTGCTTACAACTAACCTTCCTCTTTTTACATTGCTTCTCTTGATTTTCTCTTTTGTTATTATTCTCACACACATCACCTTCCATCTTCTTCCTCTTAAGTAACTTCACAAACCCTTCAAGCGTGGCATCGGCGTCTTCGTTCTTCATCAGTTCCTCGGCCACTTGCGCCGGTGTTATCTGTATGTCTTCGATTAGTCCTTCAATCTCTCCAAACAAAGGGTTGTTATCATGGGAAATTTCTAAGTAATTTGAGGCCAAAACTTTGAAACCTTCATAAGAACAATAGGACATGTGAATGTGCATGTCCATTCTTCCTGGCCTTAAAAGAGCTGGATCTAATCTTTCTTTGTGGTTTGTTGTAAATATTATTATTCTTTCATCTCCACAACTTGACCATAATCCATCTATGAAGTTTAATAATCCAGATAATGTCAACTGCATCCATCCATCAGAATCAAGATGAGCCTATATATTAATAATTTTAGTAGTCTAATTTAAATAAACAATGATAGTTTTAAAATGAACTTGGAATGAGTGCATAGAAATTTAACTGAATAAATATTCCTAGAATACTTTTTTGAAAAAATATAAAAAATAAATGTCAATATCATAATAGAAGCTTTACACGAGGCATCCACCATTCAACAACAAAAACCTTTGACAGCAACTACTCTGTATTCTTCCTTTTGCTATTTATGTAAAAACAGAAAGCGACAAACCAAAGGTGTCTGAATGAAGTAATTACGTGGATTGATAGTGAAATGCCATATTGGAAGCAAGTTTTTTATGCTTATATATAGTGCATGATGATGATTCCATAAATAATGCTTTTGAATTTTCACAACTTTAATTTCATCTTTACTGAAAATATATTTTGGAAAAACCAAATTTCTTAACCAGTTATTGAACTACACGTCAGTTCCACTGTCTCCACGTACCTAATCAAAGTGTACAATCGAAAACAAAAAGTGTCCACTTGTGTGAAAGGTTTGTCCAAAAATAAAAAATTACTCTAAAGACACACATCATAAAGTAGTGAACCTGTCAAAATCTCAAACAAAAGGACATGTGATGTTACTTTGTATCTTTGCATACTTCAATAGCATTCAGAACCCTCATGCTAGCTACTAGAAAAATAGCCATATTAGGTCAAAAACTCACGCTTTGTTATTGTATACACAGTCATATTCCACAATTGATATTTTTTTAAAACTTATATCTAACTTTAAAACCAACTCATTTAAAAAAACCAATTTTACGAAAGAGTCCATTCAAAATTAGAATATATATATATATATATATATATATATATATATATATATATATATATATATATATATATATATATATATATATATATATATATATATGAACTTGTCAAACACCAAAATTATTAGTATTTAATAGAATTTGAATCTTAGACTTTGATAAAAACACACTTTCAAGACTTAGGTCATGACCAGATTAGTCACTTTGGAGGGTTGGTGAACACTTTCAATTTTTCTATGCGCGCAATTCCTTCTAGTAGAAAAACACTACAATTGACTGCAAAACTCTTCATTGATAAGTTGTTTAATTTTAAAATCAAGAAAAATCATTTGAATTAATCTGATTAACATACATATTAGAGTGAAGAATTAAAAGCATTACCACTACTTAGAAAAATTGATTTACTTATATAACAATTAAGTTATAATTAGTAAAGTTAATTACTAAAACGAAGAATTATTACCACTAACCTGTATATCAGTTTGTTTACGTCCTTCACCATGTCTCCTCTCAGGAAGATCAACACTGCAATCAATATCTTCAATAACCAAAATAGATCTATTAGCAGTAGCAAGAAGCAACTTTCTGAGATCTGAATCTCTAACAATGTTACCAAGTTGAAGATCAAAGATATCAAACTTCAAATAGTTTGCCATGGCAGCAATCAAACTAGATTTTCCAGTACCAGGGGGACCATACAACAAATAACCACGTTTCCATGCTCTTCCAACTTTCTTATAAAAATCTTTCCTCTTCACAAACATGTTCAAATCTTCTATAATAGCATTCTTCATTTCAGGTTCCATAGCTAGGGTTTCGAAGGTTGAAGGGTGTTCGAGGTTTATAGAGTCCCATTTCACACCACTGTAACAATAAGCGGTGTTTAATGTATGCATTTTTAACACCCTTTCTTCATCTTTCATTTCTTTAGCTTTGTCAAGAATGAAAGGAAGATAAGAGTCCAGAACTATTTCCTTATACTTTTTGTGAAAACTCAGTTCGAAATATCGTTTTTCTGATCTAACAGAGATACTGTTATTACTGTTGTGAATGTCGCTGTTTTTCTCCGTTTCAGCACAGATGAATCTCCATTTGAGAGTAAACCCGTTATATGTATCGGTTAATTTTTCGCCTTTTTCTAACCGGATTGTGAGTTTTTTCTCTTTGGGGACTTTGCTGATTTTGAGTCGTTCGTTTTCAGGAGTGACTCTTGTTGAGAGATAAGATTCTGCAGCATCGTAGACTTGGTTACGTGTTATGCCGGTTGATTCTTCTATGATGAGTGTGAGTGTAGGGGAGCGTGGTTTTATGAGGTAGCGGAAGGTGTTGAAAAGGTAGCCACGAATTGGTTGAGGAATGAGTTCATGTGCCATGGAACGAAGTAGCATGATGGAAGCTGTCATGGATGCATAAGCTGAGAAAATTGAAGATGGTGAAGGCATTTCTCTTGGAGAAGAAAACATCATGGTTTTTTGGGTGGTAATTGGGTTATGTTGTTGTGTTTTTGTGCTATGTTTCTCAAGATATATGTTGGTATTTATTGGAAATCACTACCAAGGTGCGTGTATATTGGGAGATCAGTAGTGGAATCCACTTGTGTGTTTTTGAACCTTTTACCTTTTGAAGAAATTGACAGTGCTTTCTTTAGAATTTTTTTTTAGAGTAGCCATGTATTTAAAAAAAATTACGAAGTGAAAGGCAAAAAAAAATTATCATATGGCGACAAAGGCAAAGGAAAGTCGCAATCAGATTGACGAAGGTGGTGAAAATTGGTGAAATCGTCATTCCATTTGGCGACATAGACAAAAGTGGTGGAATAGAGTTTCCTACTTTCAATTAATGTTTTACTATATTTAATATCAATTATTTTTTTTATATTTTTAATTTTTATTATTTTTTTAATTTTAATTAATGTTTTAATGTATTTAATATCAATAATTTTTTTAATATTTTTAATTATTATTATTTTTTTAAACATAATTATTATTAATAAATTTAAAATAATTAGTTTAATGTTAAAATTAATTTTTTAATTAATAAACTTAAAATAATTAAGTTAATGTTAAAATTAATTTTTTAATTAATACACTTAAAATAATTAGGTTTAAATAAAAATAATCTCAAATTAATTTAATAAATTTAGGTTTAATTAAAAATAAACTTAAATTGGTTTAATAAATTAAAAATAAAAATATAGTGAGGGTATTTAAGTCATATCATATGGGGTACGCACTATTTTTTTTTACTATAAATACAGATGCAAACACAGGTATGTTTTCACAACATTGTATCCCAAAAGACTGAAGCGTTAGTGCATTTTGAGTTGAGTGGAGCCTAAAATGTCTGCATTTCTAAATCAACGTTCTTCGTCGTCGTCGTCATCTGCATCGGAGGAACCCTTTCCAAAGTTCGATCTAATGAAAAGAAATGCCCTAGTTGTGTTTTCAGCAACAAAGCCTCCGATGAAGGTGCTCCTGTGGAATACACAGACGTTGGAGCACTTGCACAGGAAAATGAACTGTTGGCTAGAAGGAGATACTGCTCCAGGAGAAAAGATTAGGAAAATTGAGAGGTTGGTCGAGGAGACCGGGAGAAACGGAGTTACTCGTGAATGGAGAAAAGTGGAAAACGATGCTGGTGTCCTTGTGATGATGTTGACACCAAAGAAGATAAAGTTGATGGTTGTGATATCGTAGACGCCTTGGTGCAGTGTTATGTTTTATGTTTTATGTTTTTACGTTGTTGTTATGTTTGTTTAATTTAAATGAAGGAAATTTGTTATTAATCGAATGAAATTTGCTATTAATTGAATGAAATTTTCTATTGATTTAAAGGGACAAGATTACATATGAAACTGTGATCTGCTGCTTGATCCTACGTTAGGACATTTTGTACGATTGTGTCCTGGTTGCCGACACGAACTACACAATCTCACCAGCTTGTCTGCGGTATCCATCTCCGTTCGAATGCGCGTGATGTTAGGCCGACCCTTTTTCTTTCTGCACATCAAGTCATTATGCCAAACAACTTCGCCTTCGTATTGAGGCCAATAGTCCTTCTTTGCCACCACCTGAAAGCTGCATGTGTAGACAGTGCATAAACTTATCACTTGGTGAACTGCAGAAAGTAGGTTGGTTGGGTCCTGGCGCGACTTCGAACATGCTGCTATGACATGAGAGCAAGGCATACAGAATGCTTGAAACTTTCCACAATCACACCAGCTCTTATCCAACTCAACACGGTAACATCCCCTAGGCCTTCATTCGTTGTGATCAATAGACTCGGCAATACTGAACCAACCAGCTGTACGGTCAAAGATTGTGACCACGTGTGTGTTGGCTTTGACAGCTTCCTCTTTCATGAATTTCAATGAAGTATCGCTGTACAGCTGACCCGATTGTAATACAGAACCTCACTTCGTACGTCTGCTATCAAAGAGTGATCCTAGCCTAAAATAGGTTGCCTTTACCAAGGCAGTTATTGGGAGGTTTCGGATTCCCTTGAAAATAGAGTTCATTGACTCGACGAGGTTAGTTGTCATGTGGCCCCATCGCACCCCATTGTCGTATGCCCACGTCCATTTCTCCCTATCAATGCTATCAATCCATCTTAATGCATCCGCGTTGGTCAGTCTGATCTCGTCACGGTAGTATTTGAATGTGGGTTCAGTTAGTGCATATCCCGCGTTCACAACCTTCTTCCGCAGCGTCTTGTCTTTGATTTCCCGCATGAAATTTTGGGCAATATGCCTTATGCAATAGACGTGGGTCGAGGGAGGATCCTGTCAACCGTTGTCATGGTTGTTGTATGTACTCTCGATGGATGGGTGTCGATCGGAGATCAAACATAAGTTAGGTTGGGGAGACACATAAGAGCGGAGGTTTTTAAAAAAAAAAAACTCCAACCCCCAGCAGTCTCCCCTTCTACTATGGCGAAGGCTATTGGAAAAATGTTGTTGTTCCCATCCTATGCCACAACCATGAGTAGTGTACCCTTATATTTCTCGTATAACCATGTTCCGTCAATTTGAATTATAGGTTTACAAAATGCAAACCCTTTGATGCATGTTCAAACACCCAAAAGACTTTGTGAAAAATTCCATTTCCACCAACGCAAGTCTCGTCTGGTGTACAAGCAGGCATCGTTTCTAATATTGCAACAGTTCCTGGAGAGTAGTGTTTAAGAGCCACCAGGAATTTAGGAAGTTCCTTGTATGACTCATCCCAATTTCCAAACACCCTTTCAACCGCGTTAGTCCTGGAAATCCAGGCTTTTCGGTACGAAGGAGTGTAGTTGTACCTTTGAACCATATGTGCAATTATGGTACTCACCTTCAAAGACGGGTTGCCGCTAACGACTGACAGAATCTCATCACAAATCAATTTAGAGCTGAGTTTGCAATGGTCTTGCATCGGATACGAGATTATACAGCTGTGGGACGGACCCATTGACCCTATCTTCCAGGAATCGATTCTCTTCCTGAAAGATGTTGTTAATCGGAACAGGCACTCCTCGTTACGGCAATAGATCGTATATCGCGTCAGATTTATCCGATCGACTCTATAATCGGCTGACAATTTCATGTGAAACTGTTTGATAGCCCGGACACAATCTTCTTTCGTACAAAACTCGTCACCCTCTTTTAGTTGCCCATCTGTTGTGTAGTTGGGGTTGTAGAAAACATTCGTCGAGGGTTCATCGTCACCTAAGTCGATAGTTGTCATGTGTTGAGGTGGACAATAGACATTGCCCGGTTGAACTCCATCCTCCGGATTGTTCACCATCTCGTCAACAATGACTTCAGTTGCTTCTTCTTCTTCGTCAACGACATTGACTTCAACGTGTTCATCATCAGAATCGCAAAAAACTTGAGACGAATCAAGTTGCTGAGACAGTTGTTGTTGTAACGTAACATATAACACGATATCTGAGAACCCAGAATACTGGTGACTGTGGAACATGTTACGCACATATTCATCGTCTCGCACCTTTAAAGGGAAAATTTTGCATGAATCATGGCTGCCAAAAAATACTGGGTTTTTGTATATTATTTGCCCAACTGGACCGCATTGCAGTTTTTTTCTATTTTTGACTTCAGGTGTAAAAAATTAGACCTTCTGTCAATGAAAAACCTTGTAACATCAGTGTTTCTGAAATTGTAACCCGATATTTCACATTCGAAAACTTCACCGTTCAGATGAGCGGAAATCATATATCATGGTGTTTGAGACATTGCGAAAACTGTATTAAAGAGATTAGTGGTTGAGTGTTTGAGTTTAAAGAGTTGAAAGACTTTATTAAATAGTCTAAGTGTTTGAGTGATCGAGTGTTTGAAAATCTCTCCCGTGAATTGATTCCCTGGATTGCAGCGTGCTTGATGAGACGGGACAATGCAAGACTCTGCATTTCACATGTGACCCTGCATGGCTACAATGACCCTGCAGGCCTACGAGATTTTGTCCCTGCATGCAGCATGCTTGATAAGACGGGACAATGCAGGAATCCCCTTTTCACACGTGACATAAAAAAGAATTTGTTTTTCACATAGTTGGTTATTTGCATACGTGTTACACTAAACAATAATAATAAATCTACATATTGCATAAGTTATCGCCCATCAAAAAAACCATATGTTTTTAATTTAGAAAAAAAATTAATATGAAAAAATCACACAACTGTTAATAAAATAATTAACCTAAAAAATCAACGACCTGCATTTCACATGTGACACTGCATGGCTACATTGACCCTGCAGGCCTACGAGATTTTGTCCCTGCATGCAGCATGCTTGATAAGACGGGACAATGCAGGAATCTGCTTTTCACATGTGACTCTGCATGCAGCATACTTGATAAGATAGGACAGAGCAAGACCCTGCATTTCACATGTGACCCTGCATAAAAAAGACTCTGATAGTATAAAATATTTTTATATGTATTTCAATTAAATCCATTTAACAATTTTAAGAGATGGCATAAATTACATGTATTTGGATACGTATTACACTAAACAAACTATACGTTTTTAATTTAAAAAACAAACATAAAACAATCAATGCAAGAATCTGCGTTTCACATCTGACCCTGCATGCCTACATTGACCCTACAGGCCTACGAGATTCTCTTTCTGCATGCAGCATGCTTGATAAGACCGGACAATGGCCCTGCATCATTACACTTGTCCCGCATGCATTTACACCACACATGCATTAGGACACTATGCGTTTACACCACACATGCATCAGGACACTTGTCACGCATGCGTTTACACCACACATGCATCAGGACACTTGCCCGCATGCATTTACAACTCTTATCCACTCGTGGAATATAAATATATGGTCTTCACTCAACAAATTCTGCTCACACTTAAAGTCTCCAACTCTCAAACCCTCAAACTCTCTAAGTCTCAAACTCCCAAATTCTCAAAACTCTAAAACTCTCAAACCCCCAAACTCTCTAACTCT